TCTCTCTCTCTCTCTCTCTCTCTCTCTCTCTCTCTCTCTCTCTCTCTCTATAGATATAGATCGGTTGCCTGTTAGATTCAGACTTTAATTCCTACTTCTAGAGGATCTGAAATTCAATATTGTCATCTTAGGTTTTTCTCAACCATTAAATAATTGCGCTCTCCTCTGAGCTAGTTTTCACACAATACTATCCCTGAGTTGATCAGTTGCTTGAATGCTGGGAATGTGCTCTACACATCCATTCATTTTCAGAAAGAAGTTATTATATTTTTACCAGCCGGTCTTTGTTACTTGTCCCCTCTCATGTGTAAAATGTGTGAGTGGATTAGATCTTTAAAAGTATGTAGTGATAAGCTTTTGGTGGAGAGGGCTGTAAAAATGAGCACTCAACCACAAAAGGACCATTTGTATATCGACTACTCCTCCTGTGTTACCTTGAATTCTTGAAGAAAAATACGAACAAAAATAAATGTCTCGTATGCCTCCAAGGTGAAAGAAGATAAAAACAAACAGAAATGTCTTGATGAATTGAATTAAATGGGGCAGCTTTTAACAGAAAAACAATTAGTTTACAAACTCTCACACAACTTGTGCAGTATAATCCAAGTCTCATTTATCCAGTCGTATGCTCAGGACTTCCCAAACACGTGCATCTTTGCTCAAACCTATTTAAAACACTTGTGAATCGCACACAGACAAGTAGTGCAAGTGTGACACCTTTTCATGCGGAAGTGCTGCAGAAGATTCATGTGTTTTGGGAAGTACTGTGCATTCGACCAAATAAATGAGACTTGGGTTAGTTATCCTGCACGGCTTGCGCGAGGGTTTGTAAAGGGATGTTTTGAGATAGTTTGGCAGTTGTGAAACATGGCCCGCATTTATTTCAATTGATCAACACTTCTCCGTTTTTTGATCCTGCGCTCACTGCGGAGGCCTGTGAGAAGACCAAGTTTTCTTCAGGAATTCAAGGTAACACTGGATGTGGGTGAAGCAGTCGTTAAAGAAGGCTCCGGGGAGCCAACTTACAGTTGGGGTCAAAACGTTCTTTGTGGAGTGTGAGGACTGGGACGCATTTATCAAGAGACAATGGGCACGGGTTAAATCGGGTTATATAACATGCACAACCTCAGGCTTTCGAAGTTTAACACAAAAATGAACTAGTTAGGTAAACAATGAAAAAAAGAGAGCTTAAATATTGTTTGTGTATAATCACTCTCAGGGGGTTCCTTCTCACCTCTGCAGGCATCTAGGATCTGTGAGTAGACGTGAAGGATTTTAACTTGTGTTGTTAACTTGTGACAAAACTTGTACTTTGACTAAAAAAGTGATACATGCAGGCTGTGGTCTACTTGAACCTTGCAAGAAAAATAAAATCATCACCATATGTGAGCACAATTTTTTTTTTTTAACTACACTAAATCCACTGCATTATTCTAATCATGTACTATGAAGGACACAATTACCAACTCACAGCACTTGGACGTCTAACTATGACCTATAATTACCCCTGTGGGGGTGTAGCTTCAGCCTCTAACAGAAGAGTAAATATGTATGAGCCACGTGATATGGATCACATTATTGACACAACACACCACAACCCTATTGTACTTTCTTTTTTCTCTCCATGCGTCCTTGTTTGAATTTGCTGTCAACAGGTGAAGCATTTCTTCACTGATGCTCCTTCACAGTCAACAGAAAAAAGCATTGATTTCCTTTCACTCCATTATCCCCTTTCCACTCTGGTGAGATTAGGAAGTGTAATCATGGTGATCCAGGGGATTATACAAGCAAAACATATGTACAACCATGAGGAAATCAGATTGATGTTATTGGCATAAAGTCATGTCTTTATAGCGTGACTTTGGCTAAATTACGTTCTTATAACAATGCTGAAAAATGTGTTGCGTGATTTACAGTAATACGCATATTTAACAAAATCTCTTTGGTGGCCTTCTTGTATCAGACTTAGAATGCAGTTCAAAGCCGTCCACACATTTTAGGTTATTTCAGATTACATATTTATCCATCAGTGGCTTAACACTTTGCAAATCCCTGGCAATTATCACTTTGTGGCAGCCCTTGTGCATTCAGATGTGTGTTGTGATGTCGAAGTGGCAACGCAGTACAAACAAAGCCTCTTAACTCTCACAGCCTCGCTCTTTGCTCTCACGCTAACTTGAAAACAAACATGCGCACACACTGGGGATGTAACCCAATTTGATTACCAAATTAAGCACCAGAGACTTGGTGACGATGGACAAATTACCGAAGTGGCCAACAGATCATACAAGGAGGGAAAGTGTGAATATAGGTGGGACCTGTTACTTCCTCAATAGAGGTTGGATATAACGACATTTGGCTGGTGTATAGCAACCACATTGAGACGGGTAAAAAAAAAATTCCTGGATTGAATCACAGTAGTCATGACTAACCTTTGTTGAATAGCTTCATACAGTTCTGACTTGCTGGTTCATAGTTGGCATTTCCTTTCAGCTTAATCGTATCCTAAAATCTTTTGATTCAATTCATTCTCAAATTTCTTTCCATTTCTCTCTTGTCTCCGTCCTGCCAGCACCTGGAGGTGTGTTTGGTCCTCAAGGGGAATCGGGGTCAGAACCTGAAGATGACAGCCAAATGAAGTTCTACACAGAGCAGCACAGAGGACGGAGGCGCAGCAAAGGTGAGAGCGAACGCACGCAGGTGTATATCTTTGTACATTGTTATAAATGTCTTACATTTTAAACACATTAACTTGCACAGGGGGAAGCCTCTTATCCACTGTACATACTGCTGAGAAGGCAATACAGTAAAAAGAGAATAATGTACAGTAAAACATTTTGAAAACAAATTAATTCAAACCCTTACCCCGGTTGAATATGAGCCTATAGCTGAGGGAAATGAGGCTAGACATTTCTGGAATCGTCAGCGTAGCTGGAAGTAGGAAGGAGTCATGCACATTCCCTGTGGGGTTTAAAGTGCTGTTCCATGGCACAGCTCAATGACACTCAAAGCAGATATACGAGCTGATGTAAATGGAGGCTCAGTGATGAGCAAAGCTGAGTCACATTACTTTGATGGGAAGCATGATTTTAACTTCCCCTTCCCACATAGTGATATGTGATAGTGAAAACTCTGTGGATTTGAGAAGTAGTCTGTGTGTTCACTTGGGTGACCATAGATATATGTATAGTTATTGTAAAGTAATAGAAATCCATGTGTTTCTAATTATTCTCCATACCCATAAAGTAAAAAGACGGATGGTTCTCGGACGTTGATGTATAGCTTCTGCATAAAGGTCTTGTAGTTGTTACAAAAACGTTGATTATTGAAGTTCACCGCATAGTTTAAATGCAGGATTCAGTGGAATAGGGGTAAAGATAGCATGTGTAGGTTTATGAACACAGACGAGGCTCTCAAATTGGCTTCATGGACTCCAATTATTTTAGTTCAAAATGAAATAGACACACAAACATAGTAACATGTATTGGTTGTGGAGTTTTAAATGTACAATTAATCACAGAAAATAGTTGACTGTTCTAATTTAAAGATAATAATCTTGTCTAAACCATCGGCTCTTTGTAAATGGGATCATGGATTTTGTAACAAAAGCATGTTGGCTCAGGACCCGGAAAGCCATAAAACCCGCGACCGTGATCTGTTTTTAAGTTGCAGCCCATGTAAAGAGGTTGTTGGGAAGAGGAACACAAGCAGAAGAAAGAAATTAAACTTAAGTTTTTAATCTTTAGTGGTGTTTTGTGTATTCTATTTGCTTGTTGATTTACATATATTCATGTATTTTGTGTACGTGTTTGTTTTAGTGTTTCTGTGATTAATTGAGCGCATTGACTAGAGATGTTTGGTTTGTGGCCATAACGTAAGTGTTTGCCATCGTGAGTGTACATGCTTTTGTCTGCTCAGTAGGCTTTTATAGTGATTGAGGGACCCCTTCACGAGCCCAGTGACACCATACACCAAAGGGATTAGCTGCTCTGCCGCTTTCACCGCGGCCAGGTGTCGTTCCTGTCCCTCCACAACATCGTGACTGTGGTAGACATGCGATTCAGTACGGGGGGGGATTCATTATCCTAACTTTGTCTTCCTGGTTTTGACCTTGAGCTGCATTTCAGTGCTTCCAAACTTCTGATGGGATTCACTGGACTCTCCTGTCACAAGGGGTCACTGATTAGATTTGTTTCCAGAATGGGGTGGTTTTTTTTTTTCAATTCAATTTGCACCATTTGCACATCGCATCAGTGATTGATTGAAATCACACTGTACTGTGGTTGTAAAATGTAAAACATCTAGATTGTGTGTGTGGCTCTGTTTGTTTGAGGTACACACTCATCTAGTTGCTGATACATTACTGCATCAGCAAGGAGGCCATTTGTTCAATATACGTCACTTAACCAGCACACCTGAGTTTGACTGCTTATAACAGGAGAACAAGAATAGGCCTATTATTACTTTTGACTTCTCCAACAAACCTGCATAATGCATGGTGCACACTGGGCACCATATATATTTGAAGAAAACACAACAACCAATTATTTAGTACAAACTTGTCAGCATTCAAATGTGTGGCTGTAAATCAGCTCTTGAGTCTAAATAAGAACAAATTGGTGAATGTCAGAATCTTGAAAACTGCTTAAGTGTCTTTTAAGAAGAACTTTCTCCTTAAGAAAGGTTTGTGAATGAGGCCCAAACCAGCGCTATCACTGCCATATCCCTCTCACATTCCAGTGAGCCTCCTCCCAACATGCTTACTTCTCTCCCTTGATGAATACCACTAGACAGAGGTTAAGCGGCTAATTTCATTCCCCATATCTGGCTTGGAAATGGGAGCCCTGACAGAGCCAAAGGGCAACCAAAACAACCAATCCATAACCCTGTCAGTGGCAATAAGATCATACATCACGCTGGTGAATGATTCAGGGCTGCTCTGCAGAAGCGCGGGTATTCTAAGTCATCCTTTCTTTTCTCAGGCCGGACTTGAACCCGGGTTAGATTCATAAATCAGGAGTACAATTAACGCCATTTTCAAGGATTGTGGGAGACTCGGAGGCTGCATTTTCAATAAGGCATGCTAAAGTGGACGATTTAGTCTGAGGTTTGTGCTATGTGTGTTTTACGTCTCCTATGTGTGAAAGTACTTCCTGTCAGGGAGGTTCAAATACAGTCGTGTGTTTGAGCCACTGATAAAAATCAAAAAGGGCTTCTGTCAAACTGTTCACCTTTTTCCTCTTTGTCTTCCTCCAGGCCACTCGCACAGTCCTCTGAATAAGGTCACCCTGACGTTGATCACCATCAGCACATGTGTCACTGCCATTGTCTATGCCACGCAGGATTCCTGCCCTCTCACCGTCAAGGTTACACTCCATGTGCCTGAGCATTTTGTTGCAGATGGTAAGTGCGACACATTCATTAGAATTTGGCTGAATATTCAACTGAAGGAATGTCCAAAACAATCATGTTTTTTCACGTTTAGCCTGATATCTATTTTCAGCTTTGCACTGTTTTTTTTTTTTTTTTTTTTTTTGCTGCACTCTTAATTGAGACTATAAGATGTAAAACCCAAGAGTAAAAAGGGAGAAGGGAAAAAGTCTGGTCACCAACAAGACGCCCACTAAACTCAGTTGGAAGCTAAAAAAATATATAGATTTGTGGAGCATGTTATCATAATAGCCGCTATCCATCAAGGTACACATTTGTGTCATTCTTTTCCTTTTTTTCCCAGCCATAATTGGAGTTGTCCTTCAAGCAGCATTCTGCAGCAACTGTCCACATACCAAAGTTGTTATTGAGTGGCGGAAGATATTATGCAATTTGTATAGTTTTCATTGTTAGTAGGAACAGCTAATGGACCAGGGACAGCTCTGTATGCTTCCACTGCTTCTATTTACAAATGGCTTGCAGTAAAAATCTCCACCCCCTCTACCGTGATTTGTGGTTCTAAATTGTAATGCTTTTCGGTGTCAGTGCCCCTTCTGCACGACTGATAAAGTACAAAAGACGCACATCCATCCAAGGAAAAGTAAATCATGTGCTAGAACCAAAAAAGATGAATCAGGACAACAAAGTCCACACACTGAAAGCTCCCAATGGGGAAGAAAAAATGATTTATTGTCACCACAAACGACTGAATGACATTTGGAGCCATCAGACTGATGAAGAGCATTGTGCTCAAAATGTGATTGTTTTTTTCTTTTCTTTGTTTCTTTTGCATTGGGAGCATTCAGTGTGGAAACTTTATTACATGTGACTGCATAGATTTGAATACTAACCTATTTTATTGTTTCAGTCGACACAGACATTCTATTTAACTAATGTGACAGAAGTACTCCGAGGTTTATTTGTGTTTTGTTTGTGCTCTATGCAAGCGTTGGATGAAATACACACATAACGTTTTTGAGAAAAAAATGAGCTGATAACACCGTCTTTTACATGCCAACATTGAGACAGTGCACACAATATTTTCACAATAAATGCCAATTCAGGATAATCAAGTATGTAGATGCCCAGGCGACTGCTTAGAGAGTCTTCCCACTGCGTCTGTTTTAAATTTGTCGTTGGCTTTTGGGAAAATTGTAAATTGTGTCTGTGTATTGGCAAGATACCGCAGTATAAACCTTGCTGGGAGGTAAGAGAGGCCAATATGGAAAATGTGCAAGGAGTTAAGCGAAGTTAGAGGGAGTGAGGAGCTGAGGCAATTTAACTAATGATTGCTATATCTCTGAAAGCGTTCACATATCAGTCGATCAGGTGCTCTTGCCACCGGGGCCTCATTTCTAGTCCGCCCACACATCCTCAATTTGTGTGCACACGGACACACAATATAAATGGAACAGTTCACAAAACTCCAATTTATGGAGTTTATTTTGTGATAACTTGTAAGATGGACACTTGGAAAATATAATTTAAGGCAATATACTGTAAACGACTTTTAGTGTTCAGTGGTTTGAGGTTTTTCTTTTCCTGGGTTTTTTATGAGGCGTTGATCTCTGACCACTTTTCCCCCAGACCAATCACATTGCAGTTCACTTCACACACAGTATCATTGGATTCTGCCAAATCATGACAGTTGGCCTCCTGTAAGAACCACCCGTACAAACATATTTCTCCTTAATCATCATCTAGACAATTTACTGACAGTTATTTTACTGTAGATTTCATGGCTTTATTGGCTTTGGCACAGCGACTTTTCAATAGATTTTTTTTCAATCCACACAGCTGCCTCAGGGTCATTGCAGGTTTCTGTCCAGGATCATTATAACACCTGACAGTGTAACATCACCTCCTGTAGGCTGTGATACTTTCTCGTCTAATTTCTTTATGACTGTCATGTTCCCTTGACCACTTGTTATCTTTTTCTCTACCGATTTCCAACAGCAAGACTTGAATTTCTGCAGTGCTAAATTCTTTGTGAAACCTTGCCACAAAGCGAGCGATGTTAGGGGCATCAGTTCAAGGTGAAATCTGGTGGCTGTCATCAGGCAGACATGAGCTCTCTACAACTGCTCTTTATTGCGGTTAAGAGAGTTTTGTGAATCCCACTCGGAATACTTGTATGAACTGGTCTCACAGAAAAAAACCAGAGGGTCAGACTACACTACACTGTAGTTCATTGCAGGATATCTCTACAACTGCAACAGTCAACGTGCTGATAAGTGTAATGCCGATATGTCACTGAGAATGAGTGATTGTTTTTTTCTGACCTCCTCACCTTTGCTCTTCCATTACTAACAAGGCAGACTTTCCACTCATACACAATATTTTTTTCTCAAAAGTTTGGAGCTGACCCGATGCTAAGTTCTTAACTTTTTAACATAAGACATAAACAAAATCAATGGATGGAGTTTGGCTGATGTGTTCCATGGATATTCACAATCACTAGAGAATGCATTATTTATATTTTGATGGCCTTTGCTTTAGTCTCTCTCTCTCTCTCTCTCTCTCTCTCTCTCTCTCTCTCTCTCTCT